ACTTCATCATTGATGTGCATGACACTTTTGAACCTTTTTTTCTTTTATAGTCTTTGTCTTCATAAAAGTTGAACTAGATATAAGATATATTCTTATCAATCTCCCTTTTTTGACGATGACAAACTCTTTGACTTTGTATTTTGATAATGATTGAAAGTATCTCCCTAAGTTGTCTGTCTTTCCCTTAATTTGTGAATCTTTTGTTCATTACCAGGAAGCATATAACCTTCTGGTTGCCTCGTGCAATACTCTTATTGTCGTCGTCCTTGCTACTAGTGCATATCTGTCGAAATAATCAACGCCTTTCTTTTTTCTAAAACTCTTGGTTACTAATCTATACATGTAAGTGTTTAGTGTACCATCATTATGATACTTCCTTCTAAATAAGAGGAGTCTCTTGAAGTTATTTCTTCTTTATAAGTCTTAGGATCATCTTCCACTTGAAGAATAATAGGAATCTTACAAATAAAATTCTTACTATTTCCTTCCATTGGATAAAAGAAATAAATTGGCTATCAATTTTGTTCTGTCTTAGATCCTTAGCCTTTCGGATTCTCTTGCTTATTCTAAGTTCGGGTTGTTTTTCAACAATCCATGAACAATCTTCCTCACGAGATTCTTCATTAGTGACGAACTTTCGGTTTGTGTTTTAATAATCCGTGAAGAACCTTTCTCACGAGGTTCTTCATTTGTGGGAATCTCAAATTCCTTATCCTCTGTGATAAGATTCTCATAATTCCACATCCCAAAATTTAATAGTTACTTAGACTCCAAATTCAAAAGTCTATATAAATCATGATCCACCTTTGATGATTATTATATGTCTTATAATAATAAGTCTCATTAGACACAAACATGCTATTCACAAAAATTCAAGTCAATTTAATTGTATAATTTAAAATATAAACTTTAATAAATTTGATCGGTTTGATGATTAAAAAATTTAACTTAAATAAATAATTTTAATTTACAATTCAATTCATTTATTTAAATAAACAAAATACTTTGTGTCAAAAATAAGTAAACAAAATAATTTAGTACTTATAATTTACACAACATAATAAATTTATTAACCTATGTTATCACTATTATGTCACATGAAAAATTTCATGGCAATGACAAGTGCATCCATTTGCAAATAATAATTGAATAAATAAAATAAAACTTTTATTTTGCCATATATTGCAACAGTACCATTAAATACTTTACTAGAATGTCACATTCTTTCAATGGCATCGCTCCTGTTCATGTGCGATTTGAATTCGAATGAGTCCCATTTTTGGTTATCCTTATTCTTACCATTTGAAAAACAAACTTTATTCAAAGTTTAAATGTAATACCTTATATATATTCCATTACCAAATCAATAGTGTCGTTACTCATAAAGCTTATCAATAATGAATGCATGAACATATATTTATATACTTAACATCTATATACATATATGTTAACAAAGGATAAACATGAATTAATATGTATATGTTAATCAGGAAGACACTGTAGAGTGTGTATCACGATATAATGGAAAATTCAAAGGTATAATAATCATGATACATTAACAACAACAAAATCCAAATGTTTGTTACCGTATAATTAACATTTGAATATGGTAAGGACGTAAGACAATTATAATTAGTATTTACAATATAATTTGTTTAATCATATCGACTAATTATTACCCACAAAATCATAATATTGATAACTGTCCTCTGGTACCAATAATTTAAAAAAAATCATTTAAATGTGAATTTCTATTAAAAAAAATAATAAAACGTAGGATTCATAACAGTGATTTTTCTTGTGTTTAGAATGTTTAACGAAACAAAAATTTATTATTTGATGCTTGAATCGGAAGTGTCGGTTGCCATTACTTAATTATAGTTATAAGAGAGTTATAAAATTAATTTAAATCGAATAGATCGAAGATAGAATCGTGAACGGAATCACTTTTCTTATAAGTATTTCAAGCACTCTCATATGTCTTAGAGTTGGAACGCAGGAATATCCATGATAATTCAGCATATACTCGAGTTTGCACAAGACCGATGAAAACTCGATTGTAGGAAAAAGTATCTGGAATTTTAGTAAAGAGAATGTATGTTATTTGTTATGTTTTTCTTAATTCCGATTGAAATATTTATAGGTCATATAGGTATTGTTTCACAAGGTTGCGACCTTTGTGGAAACAACTTCCTTTTACAAGAGTTGCAAGCTTTTGTCAAAAGTTTCGTACTTTTATCAAAAGTTACATTGTTTCGCCTAAAACATTCTTCAAGAATTACATACTTTCATTCTGCAACACTTCTTGCTTATTTTCGAGTTCAAACCTACTACAACACTTCACAAGTGTTGTCTATTTTTAAATTCAAAATTAATTTTCACTTGCATATTTTCTTGTCATTTTAGAACACACTCAAGATTATTAATTTTTAACAATTTACAACACATCTAAGAGTACAACTACATGTGGATCTATATGGACATGTTTTATATGCTTGCACAAATTTGTGATAGATAAAGTTTAATCCTGTTCGAGATATATTATTGATCAACTGTGAATACATATTTTTGTCCTTAAATTTATGTTATAATACTATGATGCTTTGACCAAATGATGTACGTATCTTTTTATGGTGCATTACAATCATGTTATTCACTGCTTCCCAACTCTTGCAAAAATCACTCTTTCTATCTCCAACTCATTTCATAAATCTACCATGAATAGATTCGACTATGTTTATTGTGGTATTGTCAAGGTGTCTAACCTATTCAGTTTATACACAAACTATTTTCTCTTTTACTTGGTCTAGTATTATAGTTTTAACATATTCCAAAACAATTGGATATTTTGTGCACATTTCTGGATTGCATGACAAAATAAACTTATGAATCTTCTGTAAAAGAATTTATTATACCATTCCATGCATCCATTATGGGTTTCATCATTTGAGTAGGTTTGCATATTTTTTTGATTCACCGTTGATTCGTTTGTTTCACAAGATTCTCTTAATTTTAGATCTCAAGTATTTCGTAATGTGATACCGACACAGTAAATCATATGAAAAAGGAAATATTTTTGCAATTGAGTTCACCATTTAAGTATTGCGATCGGTGATAATCACATGTGACATATTTTCAGAGTCTTTCAACATATTGTGACACATTTCTAGAGTCTAAGTAACATTATCCTCTTTTTCAAAAAGCAAAGTCAATTAAATATGTCATCTTTGTAGAAGTAACACCAACAATTTCAAGCAGAGGTAACATGTATTTGTTGGTCTTATACATTGAATCAACTATCAATACAGGACAAAATGTGTTAAACAACTTGATAGATTCAGAATGCTTCCAAATTATATCTCGAACATATTTTCATCTCCACACACTATATACCTAGAAACATATTGATATTTATCCAAAAGTTTCAACAACGGTTACATTTCAGATCTTTGACCCTTACCGCCTTATTGTTTTTGTGTCGAACATTATAAACTTGTTTTCTTGTCTTTTATTATTTCAAAGTTGCAAGTATGTTTTTTAGTTTAATCACGTTCATTGTCATCTCAACAACAATTTTTTTCTCATTTTAATTTAAATGGCTAACAATTGGATGACCAACTAACTTTCAATCCAATCCATAGTCATATACATCACAAATCATGTGATATTTGTGCAACTTAAAAGAAAATCTACATTTCATTTTTAAGGTGTCACCATGTTTTCACTTTCGAATAAGTTTTTTATACTTATAACTTCTTTCACATATAATTGTAGCAAATGCATGTTTTCTGTCAAAACTAGAATCAAACTTCCCAAATACTATCTCAAAATCTAATGGCAACTTATGCGCAAACTCATGTAAACATATGATCACGTAGCGGCAACTCAAGTTCAATGGTAATTTTTTTTTCCAACATCAACGTGTAGAACACCAGGTTGGAGATCTCCCAACACTCCATCCTCTAATACATTAGTTTGGTTGACAGTATCATGGTGTACCATACCTACAACCATTGAATATGAAGGAAAAGTTACAATTCAGAGACATTTTATAAAATTTTAGATGATATTATTTGGACAACGTCAATAATAAATTAAAAATTCATAATGTTATTTAATGATAAGAGATACAAGTGTACATTATATGTATAATGTTGAAATGCAATTTAATTGTGTTACCAAACACAACTATTAAACAAGACTAGAAGCATTATTAAAAGGTTTAAGAAAATGTTATAGGGTCTTAAGTGAGAAGGTTTATGAAATTATTTACGCAATAAACGTGACACTTCAAAAAGTAACATTCAGAGTTTCAGACTATATAACTCGAGGTTATCATTCGGACATATAAACTTTTTATTCAAAAAAGTCATTCCAACTAAACAATGTAGTGTTTGATTAGGGTACGTCCAAATTGTATTATCCAAACAAGAAAAAAGGGATAGGAATAAATTCAAAAATTCATTAGGATTTGAAAGAATCATGGGCTGTTGGAACTTGGTAGTGACTATTTGATTCATATAAAAAAAATGACAACTTAATTTAAACCTTCAAACGTCTTAGTTATTTATTTTTGGATTAAAAAAAAAAGACCCTTCATCTTTCTAACAACAGGGTCGAATCAATATTGATTTTTCTTCAAAAACTGTGGAAAAAAATGACTTTATTTTGACCTATGTCCATGCAAAAATCATGCAATATTGTTATTGATATAATAATATAAAATTGAAGCAATGTTGTTGGCTTTGCTATGAAGATCAAGGAGTATTATCAAAAACAAAAATTAAGAGCCATGACTAAGAAAACGCTCGTGTAAGCGTATAAATGGGAGCGATACCTACTCAAGATTTAATAATTTGCTTGAAATCTTACATGATTACGTTACTATTAACTTATTAAGCACAACCAATAAAAAATAATAATATTAAAATAATTTAAAAATGTATTTTGATGTCTGCTTGGACGTGCCCAATAAATAAGAACTGCTCTAGCTTTTATCATCAAATAGCTTCCACATCTTGGCCGTTACCGTTTGATTCCTGTTCTACATCTCTTACATTATTAGATGGTTTGTCCTCATGCATGGAGGACCCGCTTTCTGTTTCCCTGTCTAAACGCATTAAAAGCCTTTCAAGAAGTTCTTGACATTCTATTGAAGTAACCATCACAGTCAAACTTGCCCGCCCCTTCCAACATCCAATGGCTATGGATGATTCATCCACTTGGAGGGCCTCTGCAGAGACTTTGTTTCCTGCAAAAAAAAGTGTGGTGTCACATAAACTGTCAAGTCAATGGGCATGGGTTCTCTGCATCAAGTCGGCAAATACCTTCACCGAGAAAGATCACGCAACAGCCTGGCTTTAGGTTTGCCACCTTTTCACCAAATTTGGCATCGACAAATTCTGCAAATTTTACATTTTTATACTGGAGAAGATGCTTGAAATCTATAGCCGATGCACTTAGTATCTGTTTGGTGATATGGGGGAGGATAAGAGGCAATCCTTCAGAAGCAATTCTGAAAGCACATTCGACGGATCTACCTTCACGCGACTTTTGTCTTTCCTATATGATAAGAATAAATAGATTTCACTTGGTTATTCACAAGAAATATTAGAATAGGGAGCCTGAGCATTAAGTAACATTAGAATGAGAACAAAAGCATAGAGTTAATGGAGAAAAATGTTATACTTACAAATATTTTTAGGCCAACAGAAGTTATTTTAAGTTGCTGCCCAACTGATAAGTTCAACTCAAGAGCATTCTTGACTGACTTGGAGATGTAGTAAATTCTTTTTACATTGCTTGTATCGCTGTTTCTTGTTACAAGGTGACCGTCTAGTGGGAACTGCTCGTCAATGCCATAAAATGCCTCTATGCTTTTTATAATTGAGTCATCTTTGAAGAAGACGACGGGGTCAACACCTCTCCATTTGCCTTGTATCTGAAGCTTTCTTTTGCTTGGAGTGATCTTTGCTATGTTTTCTTCATTGTGGGGCTCCTGGGCATCCTCGGATTCCCCTTCTTCGTCTATAACAGGGCTAGACTTAAAATCTGCAGTGTTGGGTTCATTTGGTTCATTTTTATTATCATCGAAAACTTGTTCGCAAACTTCTTGGTGTGTACTTTCTGATGGATAAATTTGCAATACTTGTGCATCCTCATTGCCCTGGTTTAGTGATTCTACATGTTGATTATTAACTTCTTTTCTACGTTTTACTTCAATTGCTACAGAACAGGAAACAAACATATACAAAATGTTAAAAAAACAACTTGAGTTTTCTTTCTCAATATTCATCCAAATTTCTTGGCCACCTTTATCTGGACTTGAGAGAGATAGAAAAACAACAGAAATCATATAAAAATAACCTGGCATAGGAGAAACTTTTTGCAATACAGCTATAAAGAAGGCTCCAGAGTTCTGATCATGGGGGAGCAAACGCATGCATAGCTCTAGTGGGAAATCAGAAACTATCTCAGTAAACTCATGCATCGCAGGATTCTCCTCTACTTGAACACCATCTTCAGGATGTCCGTTAACATCACAATTACTGTTATAGTCAATATCTCGATAGCTTCCGCCATTTGGAAACATGCTGGGCAGAACTGCACTTCTACGTACCTTGGCAACTTCTTTGCAGGAAACCAAGGACTTGCCCTTGTCACGAACCTGCATTGCCAAAGACAAAGCCACACCTTCAAATGTGTTTAAATGCATAGAGCTGCATGACATATCCTTCTAAATCTGGAGAATATGAGCATTTTTACATACATAATCCAACATCTGCAGCTGGAAAAGCAAGTCCGATTTGGGTAAAAACATGCTAATTTTCTATTGAGAATGTTTGAAACTCAATGTTTTCCTATGAACATGAACATAGGAATAACTAGATGGACATCCAAATGATACAAATTAAACAACAAAAAAAATCAACTGATATACATTTCAAAAACCTAACGGTCAAAGTCTGTAAGAGATAACTGTCAGGCTGAGCGAGGTTTTCTGCCAAAAGCTACTATATGAGGAGTATACTATATTCAAAATCGATTATATTCAGAGGGGAAGCAGAAGAAACTTGGACAGCCTCAATTACACAACTTTTGTAAACAATTCCAGTTGACACATGCTCAATTTTTGCACGTGTAAGCCAATCAAGATATTCCTTTCTTATAACTACATGTAGTACCTTCAAAACACTACAACTGAAAGCAATAAATAGTCACATAAAACACAAACCTTCCATCTCTTCAGACCTGGCCGACGTATAAGTTGGGGAAGCTCACTGGAGACATTAACAAGTTCAATAGATCCTTTGCACCTCCGCAAAACCTGCAATTGATTATAAAAGTAGGCAAGAGGGAATCAATTAAGCCTAGCCACTCGCTGTATAACATACTAAAATGGCCACAAGCAGTGTTGAAAGTTTTCTCTAATAGATATCATGACCAAAGCCCTTAAAATAAATGTTTCTTCTTTTTTATGAAAAAAACTTCCTTGCGATTTTTAAATTATGAAAAGATAGGTATAATAAACAAAAATGAAACTCCTTATAAATTAAAAAGTGGTAACATCTCAGGTGTAGTTTGTCCTTTATAATCACAAGATCACAACCACACAATGCTTTATTTTAGCTGCAGTAAGAACGGTGAATTGACATTGAGCTAGAAATAACAAAAGTAGGAATGAGGCACACGGAAGGATAAGATATATGCAAGTAACGAATTGTAATGTTGATAGCTAGCTCCAGAACTATATTTTCCCATTAGTTAGCTTCCATTAATTTACACATTTCTATCAAATACTCATTCAAATCTAAGTCTAAGTTTCATTAAAAAAATGTTATGGATCAGATATCAAGAATGGACTAAACTAGGAATTTTGTGTGGAAGGGAAGACTGCACTGCATGAATGGAAGCAACAGATTCAACTGACAAAGGACAAGTAATTTACTTGAAAGTGAAAACAAAATACTTCACTCACAGAGCTTCCAAAGACAACTTAGTTTGGCTGGAACCAGATATAATTACAGAGCACGTAAGGTTGATTACCTCTGCAACGACAGCTTCATTTTCAATAGGATTCATTGAGCAGGTTGAATAAACCATTCTTCCACCAACTTTAAGTAAAGATAGGCCTGATAAAATCAAAATAGATCTGAGTTTGTCAAAATCATCTTATAAGACAAGTCTTATTATTAACCTTAGTTCATAAATGAATCTTTATATCTTCGTAGGTCAGTACTATCTTTCAAAATTTTAGAACCAAGGCCAAGAGGCAGTAAATTACGCTAAAAAGTACTTGGGTGTAAGGAATGCTTTTTCTCTTCAATATGACTTCCGTTCCCAATAATAAGTGTATTTTTATTATAGATCCTAATGGGAAATAAGCGTATTTTTGCTTTATCCACAGATGGCGTTCTTAACAGCATAACACAGTTCCCTTGTCCAATAAACCAAAACATAATTATGATTGACCCACCCAATTTGTCTTGCATCGACCACGTCTTAAAAGGAAAATCAAATCAAGCCTAAAAAAGCATGCCTTAAAAACAGATTGACATCAATCAAAACATACCTCGCATGGCAACTAAAATTTGTAGGGTGTGAAGTCCATTTCCAGTCCCTGTGTTCCTGCATACAAGCAAAATTAATCGTATTCTTAGCAATAAAATGACTATGACGGCTGAAGAGGAAAACTCGGAAAGAAAAAGGGGGAGACTGAAAAGGATATGGAGACGGAAGGAAAAAAAAAGTACCATCTCCTCCAGAGATCAGGTGCTTTGCGAAGGGTACCATCTCCACTGCAGGGTACGTCACACAGAACACGATCAAATAGCAGTTGGGAAGTATGCTGACTTGGACCCATTATATCACAATCCAAGTTCAAATGACATCCTGGGAAGTGCTGAGCTTCATGGTTGGTGACAACTAGGTTTGCTGTGCACATTCGTTTAATTTGGTGGATGAGAAGATTACATCTTTGTACATCTAGATCATTTGCTATAACCTTATTTATTAAACAATGACTAATCAATAAATTATGCAAAGAAGCTTGATGAGAACAGGTCATAGTCAGAAAGCTACTTGGTCTGGAAATCAAATGTAATAGAGAATAACATGAAGTACTTGTTCAGAAACAAACCATTCCATCAGGCAATGATCCTGCTTTAGTTGATCGGTGTAAAATTTCAAGCAATTGGAATGTTTTTGAACCTGGTGCAGCACACACTGAACAGAAGAAAGTAAAAGCAAAATGGTTAGAAACACTGAAATTAACATTCCAAATAAATAAAAAAAGAGCAAGAGCTGGTAAAAATGACAAAAGTATTGGTTCAGTCAGCATTGCTTACTATCGAGTACAATGTGATTTGAATGTACATCTAAGAACAGAGGAGGCACCTGCATTGCAAACAAAACATTTGTATGCACAAATTAAATTCTTGAAAAGTGAGTGCCTACTTTAAACTATATGGTCATATGACGTGCGATAGTTGTTAAACAGGCTTACCATGCTGACAGCTTCCTGTCTAGTGATATTTCCAATTTCATTTTCTAGCTTTAAGAATTCATGAAACCTGATATGTTAACATGATAAGAAGCAAAGAGTGGCCTATTAGTTAGAAGAACAAATTTATGTATATAAAATATTTCAACTAACAGAATCATGCATTCTGATTTATTTTTTTTAATAATTAGATGTGATCCACATGTCCTGCAAGATTCACAAGGACTTAAATGCTTAGGAGAGTAGTTTTAAGCCTTGGAGGCTTTAGTATCAGTAACAACGCACTTTGACTATTAGTTATCAATTTGACTTTAATGTTGCATTGTTGTGTATTAGTATTCTTCTAATGTTTAGCTTTTATGTGTATGGGTATAAACTTTCCGGTATTGTTTCCCTAAACTTTTACGTAACGGCCATAACGCTACCTGGTATGCTGCTATGGCTTTTTTTAGGGTCAGCTGCTAGCCACTATTGACTACATAGATATCCAATGCAAAACTCGGTTGAATCAATTCATGTCATGCACTCAAACAATCATAGATAATAACTTATTTACCTCTTAAGTGATTGATTCTTCCTGAGTTGCATACGGGAAAAATTAGAATGCCAAGCAAGATTTTCAGGATACCATGGCAACGGTCTAATAGCATCCTCCTCATCCCCGTCAAGAACCTACATGCAACAATTCAGGGCCCAAACAGAGACTTTAAACAAACCAAAAAACGCAGTGTGATTATTCATACATCATTGACATTGATGACTTACAATGGCCTGAAGAGCACGTGCAAAGTCATTTTCCAGCTGGGACCGAATATCAGCATAAAAAAGGCTACTGAAATCACATAGCGAAACAAAAAAATGAAAGTGAGCCATGCACCCAAACAATTTGGATGAACTAATCTGTCTTCAAATAGTTTTGAATAGAACTAGCTAGTATCCATACGTTGCAGGATATTTGTTAATATTTTAAAAGAAACTTGTTAAAAAAAATTTAAGTTATAAATATAAATAAATTAAAGATACGAGACTTTTCAAAAATTGTATTGGAAAAAGATTTTGGAGGGTTTAGATAAATTCTTCAAATAAAATCTATGTTGTTATAATATTCTAAATATTAAAAATATATTCATAAAAAGTACTCATTACCATTTTATACAAAAACACTCCTTTAAAAAAAAAGTTAAAGATTTCTCTATTTTTCTTACAGATGTAAATCAAGACCTCCGCCATTTGCATTAATTTGATAGTTATATTTATGAAATTCAAATTTCTAGTTATAATAAGTTTTGGCATTGATAATGAAGAACTAAATTCATAATTGTATTTAGGAAGAGCAAACTTAGGCCTATCTTATATTCTTGTGAGTTGTGACATAAACAATTTGAAAAAGCTTAGAAAAATAACTTAGTCAAGCACATGAACTAGTTGGAACTTATTTTCATTTTCATATGCTCTGCATGATAGTTTATAGACAGGACCTATATGGAAATTTTTCATTATTCTATTGTAAAAACACCTTATACAAAAGCACTTATACAGTAAGTCCTTATTATACACTACAGTTTGATATTTGCCTTCGTATTCCATTGAAGTCAATTAGTAGACACTGAACAGTTGAAATGCTATACTACTTGATAGATCCAAGATCCAAGTCCAGTAGAAAATTGATAGGAAAAAAAACCTGGAATTGATTCTAAATGCTGCAGGCAATGGAGTTCTGAGAACTTGCATAAATGAATCCCATTCTTCTAGGGACACGATGTTCTGCTCCTGAAAAAAAGAAAAGTGATTGAAATTAGCTTAAAGGAAAATCGGTGGTGACGGTGAAAGTTATGGTTGATGATAAGCGTGCCTTGTAATAGTGATCGAAATCAGGGTTTTGAATATCGTAAGGGTTTGTTGTGGAAGGAAGTGATTCTGGACGGTGCTGGTTCCAAACGTTCTCTCTGTTTTGCTGGAAATGCTTCCTTTGAGTACGGCTCTTCCCTCCTTTGCCTCGCCCCATTTCAGTTTCAGTTTCAGTTTCAGTTTGAGAGTGAAAGAACTTGATGTTTGCATTTGCAGACCGGTAAGATAGTTTGTTGGGCCTTTCTTTCCATGTTTAATTGGGCTTTTTTTTTCCTCTCAACAGGAGACTTTATTTTAAGACATTTCTTATGGCACTTTATGGGATAAAAAACACCCTATAAAAAATCAAAATTGTCTCTCGTGAAGGTATGTCTCTGAATGCACCACTCGTTATGGTGCACCAAATGAATATTATCCTAGATGAATACTAAAAAGAATTCTGAAGATGCATCTCCAGATAGTTTCAACAAATATATTAATAGTTGATCAGTCCAATGGACATTCTAGACATGCATCTTCGGAGGTATGGGGGAAAGATTTTGAAATTTCAATAACCTTTGCATGTCAGATATTTCCATATATGCATCTCCGAAATAAGTTGATAAAACACTAAATTGCACGATCACACAACCATACTTGTTTTCCACTCCAAACCCTCACCAAAAATCAATTCATTCTCGATCCATATTTTCTCTTCAAATCTTGAATCTTGTGTTTCATCACATCAAAGAGAGTAAAAGAAGTTGGAATTCTAGGTAAAGATTATTTATTTCAAGCTTCATTCTTCACATTAATCTTATTTTCAGTCTGAAAAACATGCGTTTATTTCGGAGATACATTTTTGAAATGAGTATGAGCTCATCCAGAAACACATCTCTAGTATTTGTCTGTTATGATTTTTTCAGCTCTATTTACAACATTAGCACTTATTTACTATTCTATTGTAATTGTTTTCATTAGATATGGTGCACCCTGATGTTTTCCCCAAACATGTTGTGTCTCCGGATGCCAAAGGTGTTGTTGTGAATGCGGTAGATATTAACCAATTTAAAAATGAGCAAGAGTTTTTGAACTTCGTGATCACATGCTTCAATTGATTCGTACAGAGACCTCTAAACTGGGATTTTGTGTGGTAATCAGAAGGTTTGATAATAGTTTGGATAGAAGATGTGCTTTTGTAACAATTACGTACAAAAGAAGCGTAAAATACATATCCCGTCTCTAGAATTTTAAACGAGACGACATCGGTTCAAGAAAATATAAGTGTCCCTTTAAGTTGTGTGGTTATATGTTGGCAAACGATAAATGGAGATTTAGTGTCATATGTGATTTATATAACTGTGACTTGTGTGAAAAGTTAGTCGGTCATCTAATTATGTGTCGCCTATTGTCGGAAGAGAAGAAATGTGTTGATGACATGACATTGAATTTGGTTCAACCGAAAATATACTTGCAACTTTGAAACGTAAAAGACTCGAAAATGTTTCAAATATTGAGCAAGTGTACAATATTCGGTACCAAACTAAAAAAATCGCTTAAGGGGGATAGAACTGAAATGCAACAACTCTTCAAACTGTTGGATGTTAACAATTATATGTCTAGGTACCGAACATGCAAGGATGGAGTAACCGTTAGAGATATATTTTGGACTCATCTTGATTCCATCAATTTGTTCAACATGTTTTCTACTGTGCTCATAATTGATTCAACGTACAAGACTAACAAATATAGACTTCTATTATTGGAGATGGTTGGTGTTACCTCTACTGAGAAGACCTATTTTGTTGGGTTTTCATTTCTAGAGAGCGAAAAAGAGGAGAATGTTACTTGGGCTTTAGAGGTGTATCGGGCAATGTTGAAGAACCAAGATGAAATGCCTAAAGTGATTGTTACTGACCGTGATACCGCTTTGATGAATTTGGTTGCAAAGGTATTTCCTACTTCTTATGCATTACTTTGTATGTATCCCATAATAAAGAATGTGAGAAGTCAGGTTAAACCCGCGGTATGGAAGAAACAGATAAAGTTTGAAAAAGGGGAAATGGTGAATGTGGGTGTGGTTGTGGACAAAATAATGGATTCATGGAATGGTATACTCAATTCTTCCACTAAAGAGTTATATGTCGATTCTGTTATACATTTCAGAAAGGTGTGCAAAATATCATGATTTGTTGAAATATGTTGAAAGCACAATTCTTGACCAGGTGAAGGAGAAAATTATTTGTGCATGGACCAGTCAGGTTAGACACCTTGAAAATACAATAATAAATCGAGTTGAGTCTGCCCATGCTACATTGAAGAATTGGTTGAGAAACAGTAAGGACTATTTGTATAAAGATTAGGACTCTGTGAACCAAATGATCCATAACCAGCATAATAAGATACAAATATCATTTGGTCAAAGCATCACAGTTTTGGAACATATATTTAAAGACAACAATCTTTATTCTCATTTGGTCGACAAAGTGTGAATGCACAATTGTAAAAATATATGACCTCCCATGTGCTTGTGTTATTGCAAAAAAAAAGGTGAAACTTGGTATCCCTATAAGAAAGGATGAGGTTTGCACACACTTAAATAGACTTAGGTTTGATGATGATGATGGTGTCATGAAAAACGGTAAATCTAATATCTCTCTATCTTGACCAAACGGGAAGTTATACAAAAGAAAATTTTGAAAGCTGGCAACAATATGAAACTCCACATCAAAGAAAAATTTAGGATAATTTCTTATCTAGAAACCACTTACTCGAAACCACCCTCTCAACCTGTAAAAACAAAATATGCTCCAAAGAAGCTCAAACCTACACTGAGTAACAACTCAACAGTGCGATTTCCTTCGTATTTTGAACATGTTGACAAAGTTTTTCCGGAATCACCAACTCCAAAATCTCAAAAAAAGTGTTTTCAAAGAAGCTCGAATTAGCAAACCACCTCTTTCGCCGCCTCCACCAAAGATTTCATTCATTGACGAGATTCTGATTTTTATGCACAAATATATCGAGTGGATCATATATGTTGAGGGTGAAGATATTTGTGGTTATCGAGCTGTTTTGGGTTTACTCGGTAAAGGAAAAGATAATCATAAACTTTTTCCGACATCAATTTATCCATAAGTTGATTACTTATAAAGAATAATACACACAACTTTACGAAAATAACGAAAAATTTGATGCAATTTATGAGTCTTTTGTTCCTTTCCTTTGTGGATCAACACCAGAGGCTAAATGGATGTGCTTCCTTAAAATGGATCACCTAATGGCATGTGCTTATGATAAAGTTTCTATTGATCTTACGCAATATGATTTTTCAGAAACCTTTTTCCCACTACGCATCGTCTCACCTCAAAATCCAAAAGATCATATTATGTGTATTGGGTGGCTTTCAAAACCATAACATTTTATTCAAGTTTACTTGAAACCGTGGATGCCTTATACCACTTGCATCACCGGAATGGGCAGCTCATTCAACAACAAAAGTCGAGACTTGGCTGGACCATTTTGTGGAAAGGATGTAAGAGTTCGAGAAATTGAGCATCGTTGAAAGAGAATCAAATGCATAAAAGTCAAAGGGGGTACTACCCATAGATTTAGTCAGCGACAAATATTCGATTCGTTCTAATTTTCTGTTTAGCTAGGAAAATAAGTGTATGTAATTGTGTTTCAATATTAATGAAGTGTAATATATACAATTTCTTAATATTTTTACATTTTTTTTATCTTTGCCAAAACATTTGTTCATTTGTCTAACAAAGTCATCAATTAGGTTTTGTTTTCTGCCTGGTTCATTATGTCTGGTTCAGGAGAGGTTCTAGAGATGTATCTTTAGAATAAGACAATAGGACAGTACCAGAAATGTATCTCTGAAACCAACACTAAAGCTTGATAGAACTTCTGTGGTTCATATTTGTGTATGATTTCTATAAATTTAAGGGATCTGGTTTTTTATTCACACAAATGCAAAATCTCTCAAATGTCACAAATAAACATCATTTGGTATGTCACAAATGTCTCTTTCTCAAGCGCGACCCCTGAGCAAAAGTTTAAGCTCAACGAGTACACCTCTTTCGCATATTTGAAATACGAAGTCCATAATCTCCCACCTTATGGAGATAATCAAAAAATTGTCAAGTTCGAGTACCGTTCACCATCGATTGACAGTAGAGGGAAGATTGAGTTCATCAACTTTAAGCTCAAGACGGATGCAGATGTAAGAGCTATATGGAATACATTTTTCCCTTTCAAAACAAAAGTTCCGCTCGAGTTGGAAGCGACGAATTCAAGATCGACCGAAGATATTGTGAAGATGTTGAAACGTCCATCTAGATACTGAAGTGTAATGTTTCATTTTATGTTGAAATCATCTATGTAATACTGATTTTATGTTATGAATGGTAATTTTATTGTCAAAATACAAGTTTTTTTGGCTTCTGCCTCTGATAATGTTGCGCATATGTTATGGAAATACATCTACGGACATATTCTGGAGATGTATCTTTGGGTTTAAAAAAACCCAACTTTTTATGGCGTCACTGAGAATGGCCTAGGTTATGTGTGTATTTGGTGCGTCCGGAGATGCATCTCCAAAATCTGGGGCATTTTAGTATTTTTCACGTTGTGTACTAGTAATATATAGGGTGCATTAAGAAATTCTCTTATTCTAACACCTTTTTATTTTGACCATGATCGGAAACCCTTTGTTATATACGATTCAATTTTTTTTTAATTATAGTTTTCTGAATTTTTGAATTAATATATCAGATTTTTAACAAAATTTTAGTTTCTGCATGAATATTTATCCAATTTTTGAAAAAAATCACTGTAAAAACATGTATTTTCCACATATTTTTAAAAAATAAATGTAAAATCATAATTTGTTTTAAAAAAATCTATGATTTTATACGGATATTTGAAAAAATCGATATAAAATCATATTTTTTATAATGGATTTTTCAAATATCTCAAATAAAATCATAATTTTTTGAAACACAAATTATGATATTATACTGATTTTTTCAAATATCCAAAAAAACTACTGACATACCGTATTTATCAAAAACTCTTATAGTGTTAACTTAGTTTTTTATTGACCTATTGGATATGAATTACCAGATTTTTCATATATCTTAAAAATTACAAACATACTAAATTTATCCA